AGTCCCTCTCCTTCACCCACTACTGTGTATGGTATCATCCAGGTCCCCAATTAATAGGTACAGTCCCTGTTTTATAAACAAACCCTCTGTCCTTCTTTTATTGTCTTCTGTCCTTTATTATGTGTATGTATCATAGTCCTAATCCCTGTTTGGTGAGGACAGTTCCTGATATATAGAGACAGTCCATGTTATAGACAGTCCATTATAGAGATGGTCCTTGATTTATATAGAGAAGGTCCTTGTTATATAGAGACAATCCTTGTTATATAGAGACGGTCCTTGTTCTGTAGAGAGATGGCCTTGTTATATAGAGACAGTCCTTGTTATATATAACAAGGACCTTCTCTACAGTATATAAAACAATGACTGTTTCTATTGTTCTGTAAAGAGACCGTCCTTGTTATATAGAGACAGTTTCTGTAGAGAGATGGTCCTTGTTATATAGAGATAGTCCTTGTTCTGTAGAGTGACAGTCTTTGTTAGCACTGACATAGATTCCTGAAGACTGGACCCCTGCCCTGCACCATCCATTCATGGCTGCTGGAGACTCCCACCAAACCACTGTGAACACAGCCACATGGAGTCCCAGAGACCGGACCCCTACACCATCCATGGTTGCTGGAGACTCCCATGCCACTGTGAGCATGGCTATGGTCACAAACTCTGGCTATCTCCTGTATTGTGTCTGCACAATCTCTGACCATCTCCTGTATCATGTTCCCAGTCTCTGAGCATCTCCTGTAGCATGTCCACACAGTCTCACAGTCTCAGAAAATCTGACCATCTCTTGTATCATGTCCCCAGTCGCAGAAAATCTCCTGTATCATGTCTACACAGTCTCTGACCATCTCTTGTATCATGTCCCCAGTCTCTGAGAATCTCCTGTATCATGTCCACACAGAATCTCCTCTCTGACCATCTCTTGTATCATGTCATGTCCCCAGTCGCAGAGAATCTCCTGTATCATGTCTACACAGTCTCTGACCATCTCTTGTATCATGTCCCCAGTCTCTGACCATCTCTTGTATCTGTCCCCAGTCTCTGAGCATCTCCTGTATCATGTCCGCTATCTCTGGCTATCTGTTGTGTCATATCTAGGGGGGGGGGGGGGTGACACCAGGTTTTTACCGCATCAGGTGACACCAACCCTAGTGACACCACTGTATGTAACTGATATTGCGCAAAAGTTGTTTAAGTTGTCCAGAGCTATGTTGGTTCTTGTAGGCACTGGGGGAAGATTTGAGGATTATTGGTACAAAACCAGTGCTAAGGGAGTCATTTATGATATTGAGAATACTGAGGCATAAAGAACTAAAACAGGATTTAAATAAATGGGTGGGAATAGGATCAAGTATGCAGGTGGAAGCATTTTCAATTTAATCAGAGATGCAGAGAAGTAGAGAGAAGAACCAGTAAAAGTGGATGGGTCAGGAAGTGATGTGTAGTATGAATTTGATGTCTTATTTATATATTCTCAGCATGAAGGTAAAAATACCCTTCAGTGTGCAGCTCCCCCCCTCAGCCCCCCTAATACGTATCTGAGTCCGATCTCAGTCCAGCAATGTGCACAAGAGCAGAGGCCCTCTCAGCTCTCTCCATCCTCATTGGCTTAGACACAGCTCTCTCCTGCTGCTGTCAATCACAGCTATTAAGGAGGGCATGGGGGACAGGGCTGAGCCATGCTCTTTGTGTCTTATGGACACACAGAACCAGCTCAGGAACAAGCACACACAACTGCCACCTTGCTATGGGGCGACTGCCAGGAGTGCTAGAGGGGGACTCAAGAAGAGGAGGAGCAGGTCTGCTCTGTGCAAAACCACTGCACAGAGCAGGTAAGTATAACATGTTTGTTATTTTAATTAAAAAAATAAGTTTTACAACCACTTTAATGTATATATTGCACTAAGCAGAACATTTTCAGCATACAGGATATTTTTTTATTTTGTACTTCTACATGTAGAGAGCAGCATTGCATTATATGTTTATTATCACAAGAGAGAGTGTCCTCCTTTATTATGCAACTTTAAGGGTGACATGGGGAAATCACCATTTCAGTCAATTACATGCTTGGAAGATGCCTGTAAGCTGTATGTAATGTTACAGAGCTGTATGATTCTCATGGACAGTGTCAGCAACACCTTATGCTGACATCACATAATTTGGACATATAATTTATTTTTGTGCATTTAGATAATTGCTTGACTCAAATACAGCAGCCCCCCCCCCCCCATCTGATTCATTTCAACTTGAAAAAAAAAAAAGGCTTTTTTTAGGTCGTTTTGGCTAGGACAGCTCATTTATTTTTACCAGGGTGATAGGTGTTAATTGAATGGTAGAAGTAGCAACTACAACAGACCTAAAATCTCTAGGACAGTTTACTTAAACAAAAAATAAAGCTAAGGCCCCTTAACTTTGTACCAATTGGTCAGTTGCAAAAAGTTTCAGGGTTTCGTTTTTCAGGGTGTAGAACTTTTTAAGTGAATCCATTTTAGTGAAGTGGGACATACTGAAAATATTGCACACATTTGTGCTCAGTGGTAAGATTTTAAGGGGTTAAGACCTAATGAGTTTGTTTACACATGGGGTAAATGTGTAAGAGCAATCCACAGTGGATTGTTTCAAAAGGCTTTGGACAGGTAGTGTTGAGGACATTGCCTGTCCAATGCCCTCTGAAAAGAAACCCACTGTGGCTTGCTCTTCAGAGGCCTACCCCATCTGTAAACAAACCCTTAGCCTGGGTTCACACTGAGGAATTTTCTGTGCGAATTCCGCACAGCATCATAATCTCACCCCATTCATGCGAACTGCTGCAGATGTGTATGTTAACAACACCCCGAAATTGGTTCACTAAACGCAGTGCAATGTGCAAATTACTAATGTGGACAAAAAAAGGGTCCTGCACCTTTTTGGTGCAGATGAGGTGCGATTTAAACCATACAAAATGTATGGCTCAAATTGCACCGCACAGAATTTGCATGTGATTTGCAGAGGAATGCGGTGCAGTTCCTGTCCGAATCACATATGCCACACCGCATCAGTGTGAACCCAGACTAAGTCTATGTTCACACCTATGCGTTTTCTGTTGCGTTTTGCGGAAACGCACAGCAGTCCATTTAACATGATTTCCTATGGGACAGGTTCAAATCTCTGCATTTTCATCAAGTGCATTTTTTGGAAAGGGTCAGGGACTTTTTTAAAAGCAAAAGGTTACATTTTTGGTTCTATAGACTTCAATGGAGATTCTGCAGAAAAGCATATAGTGAGTTTTTGATGCGTTCGTGATGTGTTTTTGATGCAGTTTGCGTTTTATTCTGTCCAGCAACAACTTGAAAAAAAATGCAGTGTGTGGCAAAAAAAGTGTGTGCAAAACACAAAACGCATTGCAAAAAGCACTGCAGAAATGGATCAAGCGCAAACTGCATAAGTGTGAACCTAGCCTTAAAGAGATTTTCCCTCACTTTCTGTCCCTGGGACAATGGTTTTTCGAGACCGGAAGTATAAAAAATCAGTACAGTAACAGAGACAGGAATACAAGTCTAACAATTTAACCTTCCCTTACTTAACGGGAAAAAAAAGCATTTTATTTTTGTCTATGTTGCTGTTGCAAAGTCCTCCTCACTTCCAGTCTGGTGAAACATTGTCTGTAGGTCAGAAAGTGAGAATAAATCTTTCTAACAGAGCCCCAAATTGCAGTAAAAATCCAATGGAGGCTCTAAATCTTCCCTACTCTGTCATAAACTATGAAACAAACGTTCTGACTTGACACTTAAATAAATAATCATTTAAAAATTAATTTTCAATATTTGTATATCTGTAGCTGTTATTAATATAATACCTAGTGATTCTGCCATGTGCAAACACTTCGTGTCATAGGGGTGACAACTTCTGTCCCTGTCTCCCAACTGCGCTTTCGCATTGCAACCCTGTTACAAGAACTTATCACAGGGACTACAAGTGACAGCATCAAAAAACATCACTCTGGCATATTCCACTATTTTCATCACCAAGAACCCCACTCTGAGGCTCAGTTCCCACTAGCTTTGTCAGCAAGCATCAGACAGGTGTTTTGGAAGTGTTTTTAACACTTCTCAAATGCCTATGAAAATTCTACACATGGCAGTACACAGTGCTGTTCACACTGAAGCGTTAGTGTTGCGCTGTATTGCGTCGCAGCAAAACTGATGTCTTGTGTCGAGTCAGGAGGTGTTGAAGCCTCCCATTCAAGTCTATGGTGCCGCTCCGCAAACGCCTGGCAGTGCGGTGCGGTTGGAACGCGGTTGCGGAGCGTTAATGCCATTGAACTTCATTATAGGCATTTGCGGTGTGGTTTAAGGCTTGGCAAACGCCTGTCAACCACCTCAAAACTGTGCATGGGGCATTTGGGGAGCGTTTGAGGAGCATTAAAAACGCTTCCTAAATGCCTGTCTAACGCCTGTCAAATGCTATAGGGGCATTTGGCAAGAGTTAGAAATAAAGACAAGTGTGAACGAGACTTTATTAGTACAACGCAGCCGTCACTAGAGTTCATGCAGGTAGACAAGAAGTGGCTGCAAAGAGGCTGCATAAAATGATACAACAAAGAATGTAGAACATGTAAAAAAATATTTTTTATTTAAAAAAATGGCAATTGTTTACGATACCCAGTGCTGTAGCAATTTAAAGGCCAGTCATCATTTTTTTTTTTGTTAAAATAGAGAAAGCAAACAAAAAAAAAGTGTATGTAACACATTATTTAACTGTCTACAAATATACTTTTATTTACTGAAACATTATCAAATAAACATTTCCATTACTGTGCAAAGAGTCCTAATAACTATGCAAATGCATCTTTCCCAATACTTCAAGAGGAACTGGCAAAACATCAGGATGTGAAGTCAGAACCTGTGTAAATGTAATTAGGGGAGGGTTCTGAAGGTACAGTTAAAAGCAAGATACACATAAAAAAGCCAGTGTCTGCCAGACTAGGAGCTACATTCAGTTAGCAGGGTACCACTGGCAGGATGCCTTCCTACACAGTCACTGTAACCACAGGCAGCCAATGGTTTGCTGGCACAGATGATTACATTTATATCACTCTGATTGGATCCAAAGGCTGCAGTGAGAAGAACTTACTGGACAAACCTTTCTACAATGATTTTGAAAGAGGGGCGGTAAGATTTTTTTATTACAGGTTGTCAATTTATGCAATGCTTTACATATATATATATATATATATTATTATTATGATACAGTATTTATAAAGCGCCAATAGTTCGCTTAGCGCTGTACATTACAAAGGAGGACAGAACATGTGACAGAACAATACCAATACAATGCAAAACATGAGGGGATCGAGGGCCCTGCTCTTTCGAGCTTACAATCTAGGAGATAGTACATTTGCATCAGTCCCTAACCCTCAAGGGGTGTACAATCTAAAGTCCCTAACTTACATACACATACTAGGACCAATTTTACACAGGATCCAATTAAGCTTCCAGCATGTCTTTGGAGTGTGGGAGGAAGCCGGAGTACCTGGAGGAAACCCACACAGGCACGGGGAGAACTTGCAAATTCCTGGAGGAGTTGCCATGGTTGGGATTTGAACCAATGGCCCTGGTGCTGCCAGGTGGAAGTGCTAAATATTTGGCCACTGTGCTGCCCCAATATGAATCCTTTATAACTTATTATCTCTTGAGCAGGTAAAAAAAAATAAAAAATGACGCACAACATTATATAGTGTGTTTAGATATTTCACATTAGTTTAATGCAACCCATTCTGTTCAGCAACCAGTCTTTTTTTTACATTGTACTGTGGGAAATATAAACTGATAACAAAGTGTATATTTAGTTTGTAGCTGATTTTAGCTTAGTCAGTGTTGCTTCCTTTTTTTTTTATACGTTGTAGCATTTTCTATCATAATATTGTACTGGTAACCAGGGGCGGACGAACAACTCATGGAGCCCCCAGGCAATAGGAGATCATGGAGCCCCCTGTCCTCGCCCACACTCAAACCACACCAAAAAAAAGCCTATGAAAGGTACCAGGGGCATCTCATGGGGCCCCCTACTGACCCTGGGCCCTCGAGTTCCCGAATGGTCAGTCCGCCCCTGCTGGTAACACATTTGGCTTTCCTTCTACATTATCTAATTCTATAATAATAATATTAATAATAATAATAATGATGATGTTGGAAGGCAGTTTATGTGCCTATGGGGGACTAGTGATTATAATATAACTTAACTATCCAAAATTAGTTGTAATAATTTATTTAAATATCTTTTTGGTATTCATACACTCTTATTAGTTATTTGTATCATAATTTGAATAAATTTAATGGCATTAATTTAATTATTATTTATTGAGAAATATTTAGGAGTGCAACATATATTTGTAGATATTTCCATACACAGTTGTAGTTATGTGTTTCATGTTTGCGATCCTCTAGAAATTATCACACCTGTGGCTCGCAAGTTATTCCGATTCATTTATACCTGTTAACTATCCAAAAATATTCTTTTTTTCTCAATAGCTAAAATGTATCACCAGGTAGATGTACACTGGAATAGGCTGAGACTTAGATTAATCAGGGAGCATTAATCCACAGAAATGATTAAGCAAGCATTATAGCTTGCTTATTGCGATGGATGAGTTGCCACCCCATTCCTTAAATACTGAACACACATTAATTACACAGGTTCTGTGGCTAATTAAGGTGGTAATTAAGCTCACTTAGTGCCTTATCTCCATTAATTTAGCCTCAGAACCTGGGTAATTAATATGTGCTCAGTTTTAAAGGGATGGGGTGGCAATTTAATGAGTTATCCTTGATCATACTAGATAACAAGCTTTGAATTTCTATAGGATGTATAGCCTTTTATACATTGTGTTTGTAGAGATCGATCATTTAAACCCCATTTGAAAACAGTTGTATGTATTATACTCTGTCTATTGTCATTCTCTCTATAATCTTTCTATACTTACTATTCTTTATACATACAAAAGATAAATCCTACCACTGATGTTCGCCTGATGCCATTACTGTCTCCTGCCTTCATTACCATCTCCTGCCACAACTTCTGCCCTGCCACCATTACCATCCCGTGTGTCCTCCACAGCTCTAGTCTGCTTCTTCTACACTGTCTGGGTACCACATCTAATGTTTCAGCAGTTGCTCCTTGGCTCTCATATTTTCATATTTTTTCATGCAGGGTCAGTACTCAATGGCCTCTCAGTGTTTACGTTTTTGTGCTGCTCTGGTACTGTCAGAGCGCAGGGTCACTCCTGCAGTGCCCCCCAATGTTTGTGGTGTATTATGCTGCTCTGCAATTTTGAGGTGCCATACCTAATAATGATTATGCAGCTGCTCTTCAGTTGTTAAAATTACAGTGCTTGATGCAGGCTAAACTATGCTCTTTGTCTCCCATTTCTCAGCCGATTGCTGTGCCAGGTAATCTAGAATGTATGTGACCATGAAAATGAAATAGTGAAGTCTAAGGGCTATCTTTGGAATGTGAGGTTGTAGTTTTTAACCACTTGCCAACAGTGCTATAACTGAATGATGGCTACAGCGTGGTTGTCCAGTTCTGCAAGGGCATAATGAGACATCCTTCCAGAATGTGCCTTCCCGTGTGCCCCCAATGTTAAAAATTTCCTACGGACACAGCTGATCACATGATGAGGTAAGAGGCCAATCACAGCGGCCTTTTGCCACGTGATCAGCTGTGTCCAATGACACAGCAGATCACAATGTAAATAGAGTTGACGGTTATCGGCTGTACTTTTCCTCACGCTGTCACAGGAGGAAAGTACTGCCCATAACTGGCAAATGGCACAGAGGATATCTGCACTGATCATCAGGGCACTGATGATCAGTGCCCAGCAGTGCCACCCACCAGAGCCCAGCAGTGCCTCCAAGCAGTGCCCATCAGTGCCACCCATCAGTGCCCAAAAGCAACACCGATCAGTGCAGCCCAGCAGTGCCACCCATTAGTGCTGCTCAGCAGTGCCTCCCATCAGTGCCCATCAGTGTCGCCCATCAGTGCAGCCAGTCAGTGCCACCAGTCAGCACCACCCATCGGTGTCATCCATCAGTGCTGATCAGTGCCTCCTCATCAATGCCCACCAGCGGCCATCAGTGCTGCCTATCCGTGCCACCTCATTAATGCCCATCAGTGCTGCCTATCAGTGCAGCTTCATCAACGCACATCAGAGAAAAATTACCTGTTTGCAAAACTTTATAATAGAATCAAAGAAAAACTTTTTTTGCTCTTTTGTTTTATAATGTAAAAAATAAAAACACCCAGTGGCGATGAAATACCACCAAAAGAAAGCTCTAAGTGTGTGAAAAAAAAATTTATAAAAATGTAATGACCGCGCAATTGTCATTCAATATGTTACAGCACTGAAAGCTAAACAATTGGCCTGGGCACGATGGGGGTAAAAGTTGACGGTAGGCAAGTGGTTAAGCTGTTTTTGTTGGAACTTTGTATACAATACAATATGGTACTGCACTGAAAGAAAATTGTGTTAATGCTATGAAACATGTTTTGCCACATTTTACATCACTCTAGCATGTTCCTTCTAGATAAATAAGTGTCATATTTATCAAGTTAGAATTATTCAGATCGAAGTGGTGCTGCTTTATTTAAGTCAGGGAATAATATATAACTGAAATCAATGTGCTGCTAATGACATGATTGTCAAGAAATAGTTAGATCAATAAGAAGCAAAGAGCTGAATAACTGTTTGCTTAGGTAAAATTTTCTTTCATGTCAGCATTTTCCTTTCTTTCTTTATACTGTATATGGGCAAGATGCAGAGCTAAATGGGTCCACTTCCACTTGAGAATCAACACAAAGAAATGTGGGTTGGGTGGGCATCTATACGTTTTAACCTTTCAATGTATCATTTTGGATATGATACGTTGAATCCCCATTTCAAGCTAAGCGCTCATGTACACGGCAGCTGCTGAACTCACGTTTAGGAGCAGTTGTGCGTTTTTTTCAGCAGCCCCTGAACTCTCCTTTATGTTTTCTTATGTGTCCATGTACACATCGTCATTTACAGTAGTTTACAGACAGTTGAGATTTCAGGCATTTTCTGGAAAGCACAAAATTGTGTTCAGGAGTAGTTTACCAGCATTTCAAATGCCAAAAGCTTGTAAACGCATTTATGCGCGTTTGTGTTTAGACGCTTTTTTGGTTGGTCCATATCCAGATGCTGTCCAGAGCCTTTTTTTTCATCAAAAATGCATGCATAGCATCTTCCATGTATTCAAATGGACTCGGTACACCAGTGCAGTCAGTTTCAGGTTTCGCGTGTGAAGGAAAAAATGGTAGAACGTGCTGCATTATGCTCATGAAGGGATCCATAGTGAATACAACCAGAAAAGACAGGTAATCTCAACACATACTGCTCTCTCTGCTTCAGCTCTCTCAATTTCTCTCAAAATGTCTGAAATAGTTAATTATTTACTATTTGTCAGTGCATTCTGGGCATTTGGGAGGGTCTCCTGAGGTTATTTTTTAAAATCGCTTCTAAACGCAAATGCGCATAAACGCGGTAGGTAAACTGATGTTTTTAACCTATGTTTTCTATCAGTCAGTTTCCAGAGGTCAGAAGAGTTTTTCAAATGCCCCGTGTACATGAGCCCTAAAACTTTTATTTCGTTCTGGCTACAGTGGAAAAGGGTTGGAATCTCTGTCAACTTTTGACTTCCTGTCTATTTGACATGTGTCAGACGAAACAGGAAAAGTACCTCAGTATAGGTACAGACAGCAATGACAATAATTTTCTAGTTGAGAGGGGAAGGGTTAGAATTTCTCTCAGGTGTCTGTATCCTCATTGTGAAGGAAATCTAAGCTTTTTGAAATCTAATAGATATTCTAAATATTCTCCACTCTGTCCAAAGCTAAAGCTAGATTTAAAACTAACTGCAGAGAAACAGCTACATGCACAGTTTAACCTCATCCAACCAAGCATTTTAAAGCATTGTCCAATTGCCATTGTTTCCTCCAGAGATAATCCAGAGCCTGAGATCTCCATCCTTTTCCTTTGTTCACACATGCAACACTTAACCTCCCTAGCGGTATGATTATTTCAGATTTTTGGTGCTGAAAGCGGTACCATTATTTTGCATGGAAATATGTAGTTTTTTTTGATTGTAGGCTG